ATTTAAAGGGTAATAAAATAATTGCTGATGTAATATTTTCCCTATAACTATTACGAAAACACAAAAAAGTATAAATAAGTACGGTATTTATATTTGTGTACAAGCTGTTTAGATTGTCAAAAAGCCTGTGTTTTTAGGGTTATTAATGAAGTTTGTGTACTCAGACCAGTAATATTTGGGGTCACAAGTTTTTGCCATGAATATTTTGTGGGTCAGAAGATAAAAAGTTTGGGAGCCACTGTTATGAACCACTGAACGGGTTTTAATACAACTTTTATTGGGTCGACACTTGCAGCTTTTAAACACAACTCAAGATGGCCTCCGCAGCCAACTGACTTTAGGAAACACAAAAATGGTCTTTACTCATTAATGTTACAGATATTGGGCTGGCATTGTGTGTGGTAGTAGCTGAGCATTTGTTGCTGCAGCTACTGTGTTTTTCACAGTTTAACCAAAATGAATAAACTGTCGTTTCTCAACAGAAGATGAGCTCAGTGTGAAGCTACACATTCCTTCAAGGAATGCTTTATTATTTTATTGCTGTAACTTCACCAAGTTAAAATGTGTCAAATCATTTTAAAGCAGCTTATTTCCTAGCACTTTCCTATTTAACATAAAATGCATCTACATAAATCTATGAAGTATAAGTCACCTGATGAAAACAAATCTTTTCTATCCCACTCAAGGTGAAGAGCGCAGATGAAAACCTGCAGGTGGTGAACCGACAAACGTGTCTTCTGAAGTCCGACCTTCTCGCTCTGCAGCAGGAGAGGGATTCTCTGAAGAAGGAGGTGTCAGCGCTGCACAAACAGCTGCACAACTCCAACAATAAAGTGAGGTTTTTTTAATGTAAGTGCAAAACAACGGTACAACAACAGAAAGGTAACCCTAGGTTGTCTTCGCAGAGCCATATTTTGGAGATGGCCCTGCACTCGAGCGGTCTGCAGAGTCAGAACAAGAAGATCTTCAGAGAGGAGCTGTCTCGGGTGGTGGGGCAGGAGCAGCAGCTGCTGAAGCAGGAGAACAGCCGACTGCAGGCCGAGGTGCACAGCATCAAGAGCAACCTCATCCAGTCCAGAGAAAAGGTCTGCTCACACCTTCAGTGCAATGAAATCAAACAGAATGGCCCCCCCTTAGAATTTGCTGGCACCCCCCTGCTGGCCCCCCCAGTTTTATCCTCTTGGTTTTTCCTTTTTAAATTCCCCTACCTCTTTAGGAATAGAACCTCCATAAATATAAAAACAAACATTGTTTTTTTTAAACAGAGTTAAAACCATTAATTTATATTTTAGATAAATTAAAAATAAAAATTAAATTAAAATGTAGCTCCTCTGAGTAAGGACAATCAATCTAAAACCAATGTTTTAAAATAAAGATGGAGGTTCTCATGAGGTTATATTCATGGATATATTTTAATCAAATATTAATTCAATAATTTAAATTATTATATAATAAATGTAAAATTAGGCAGTACAGTTGGT